AACCAGGATTGGTCCTAGTAGGCACATGGGGCTCGTGGGGGCAGTAGTGAATCCAGAGCAGACCTCAGCGTTCACTTGGGCTCTCCAGTGGGTGAATCAGGATCAGCCCCTGAATTCACATGGGTCTGTGGAAGAGAGTAGTGAATCTGGAGCAGACCTCCACATTTTCATGGACATGGGTGGGGGGAATCAGGATCAGCCCTCACGTTTACATGGGGCTGGTGGGGTGGGGGGAGTGAATCCGGAGCAGACCCCAGCATTCACATGGACTGGAGGGATGGTGAATCAGGATCAGCCTTGCATTAATATGGCGCTGGGGGGAAGGGAGGAGGGGAAGTGAATCCAGAGCAGACTCCAGCATTCACAGGTGCTCCGGGGAGGGAGGGGGAATCGAGCAGCCCCTGCATTCCCACAGGGCTGGCTAGAGCCCGTGGCCGCCCCCGCCCTTCCCAGGTGCTGGAGCCTGGGGCAGGCGGCCCAGCCCCACTCCCGGCAGGTGCCAGCCTGCCTCGCCTCGCCCTGCGCCAGGGCTGGGGACGGCCCTCCAGCGCTCTGCTGCAGCCTGGGAGCACCCCCCGTTCCCCCAGCAGGATGAGCCCTTGGGCAGCCCCCCACTGACGAGGCACAGGGCTGGTACCTGGGCCTGGGGTAGGGACCTAGGAGCCGGGTGCTGCCCGTGTCCCCTTGGCCCTGGCTGTGTCCATCTTGACTTCTCCCAGTGGCAGGTGGGGGTGTCCTCTGGGCACAGCTCTGCTGTGCCCCCAAACCCAAGATATCTTGACAGCCAGTTGCCCCCCTGCACCTACCCGAGCAGTGGGCTGCGGGGTGGGGGAGGAGGGGGCTGTTGGCATTTGATTGTCTGGGTCTTCTTTCGCTTTATCCCCCACAGAGGCTCTTCTCCTCAAAGGCTGCCAGCTGCACTACATGAGACATTTACTCCAGGCAGCTGCATCTCCCTGCCAGGTAAGGAGGTCCTTGGCCCCCCACGCCCCTAAACCAGGGGTGTTTCAGTGCTGGGTGGGCAGCCCCCATCAGTGGGCCGAGCCCGAAGCAGCTGCATCTCCTTGCCAGGCCGGGAGTATGTAGTCACCCCTCATGTGCGCAGCACCCCAGAGCTGGCTGCATCTCAGGCCCTGTATAATCACCCCCCATGTGCACTGCACCCCAGAGCTGGCTGCATCTGCCTGCCAGGCAGGACCCAGCGTAATCAGTGTTTCTAAATGTCAAAGGGATTTTGGGGCAAGCTCTTAGGTGACCCCAGGCTGCCTCCCAGCTGCTGCCTGTTCCTCAGCGAAGCCACAGAGCCTCAGGACGCTGACCTAGGAGAGGATCTGGAGAGCCCAGTGCCCCTGAGGCATTGCACTGCTCCTCCCTCGCCGCTGGAGCCAGCTGGTTTCCAGATATCTGCTTTATCTCTCCTGTGAATTGCCCAGGGGCAGGGGTTGATGGATGAAAGCTGGAGCTGAAAGCATCAAAGGGGCTAGGGCACCAGGAAAGGCGGCAGTGCTGATCCCTGATAAGATGCAGCATCCACAGACACCCAGAGCTGCTGATACCTGGGACGACCCCTGCCCTGCCCTGCCCTGCCCTGCCCAGCTCCCGGGAGGAGCCTGGACTCAGGTGAGCTCTGGCCTGGGGTCCCAGTTGTGCCTTGGGGGGAGGGGGTTGGCATTTTCCCCGGTGGCCCCGAATGACTGTAGCTGGCAGAGCTCAGACAAGCAAGGGCTCAGTGAGAAATGTCCTTGCTCAGGGCCAGGGATGAGCTGTGGCCTCTGCTAGACCCTGGGTGTTGGCTTAGCCCCATCGTAGGCGCTGGGAACGGGTGGGGGCTGCAGAGAGGGGTCTGGCGAGCGAGCAAGCACATGGGGTGTGAGTGCGGGCACCGGGCATCAGCAGCTGGGCAGAGAAGCTCTGAGCTGGACACAGCTGCTCCAGCTCTCAGTGCTTGGCATGGCCCGGGCCAGGCCTGGTCTCTTGTGAGGACCGTGGACAAAGGGGAAGGAGCCAGCGGCAAACGCCGGAAAGCCCCTTTGCAACAGGCTTTAGGGCCGGGGCTGTTTGCATGGGGTGCGGATGGGCTGGGAGGGGAGCCCGAGGCCCCGAGCTCGGGAGCCAGAGCCTGGCCCTGGCAAGTGCTGACACCAGCTGTTCCCCGGGAGCCTTTGTTTTGCAACGCAGCCCCCGGGCTGGCCTGGCCTGGCTTGGCGGAGGAGCCGGTCAGCTGGTCCCGGTGCTTTCACAACCCAAACCTCAAGCTGGAAGAAGAAAACCGCGGGGAAGGCTGGGGGGGCCGTGGTGCTGGCAAAACAAAGCGTTTCTCAGCTCAGCTGGGGGATGTTTGTGTGGAAACAAGGAGCTGGCCATGGGGGCCCTGCGAGGAAGGGGGTTACTGCCGGTCAGTGCCCCGCGGTGGGGAGGCCTGGGGCGGCCTGAACGCGCGTAACCCCGTGCCAGCGCTGCCTCGCAGCCACAGCCAGGGCCCAGGGGCCCAGCCTTGGGGGTCCCGGAGGGGAGGCCGAGACCCCAGTTCGGAGGGTGCCCAAGCTGGGCTGGGGGTTGCATTCCCCAATTGCAAGGAGGAGACCCCCCCCCCCCCCACACACACATGGCCCTGCAGCCTTGGGCCTGGACCATGGAAAAACACCAGGTCTCTGTGTGGGTGTTTTCCAGGGCCCTGTCCAACCCAAACAGCCTCCCCGGGTAAACAGGGACAGCGGCCAGGCCGGCTCCCCGCGATGCCCCCCTTGGTGCGACCCTTGCTCCGGTGGTGCCTTTGGCCTTGGCCGGAGGGCTTGGGCAGCTGTGGGATCAGGCTGGGGGAGCCGGGTGCATTGGAGGGAAGGGACAGGGGCACTGGCTGTTTCTGCCCCTTCCGGGCAGGGGCAGTTGCTGGGGGGGAAGGCAGGCTCGGGACCATTTCTGGCCCGTGCTGGGTGCGTGTCAGTGCGATGGTGGGAGTTGGGGGGCGGTGGATGCACCCCACAGTCCCGGGCGGTGGCTCTCCCTGCTCATGGGAGAGGAGCAGCACGGGGTGAAGCTGTTGGGCAACGCTGTTGCCCGCTTCAGGGCAGGTGCTGGCTGGGCCCCAGTGAGCCCCCCCACCCCCGCCCGGGCACTTGGGGGTTAAAGGCAGCTATTCCCCCCTCCCCCCCACCAGTGCACACACACCCTGCTGGGATCTGGTTTCCTGGAGCAGCAACCTCCCAATTAAGAGGCCTTGGCCATTGCTTCCTTTCAGCTTGCAGCGAGTGTGTGGGGCTGGGGGGGGATCCTGGGCTGCAGCTGGGGCTGGGGCAGAGGCAGAGGGGGGTCCTGGGTTGCTGCTGGAGGAGCAGAGAGAGGGGTCTTGGACTGCACCTGGGGGGAGCAGACGGGGGGTCCTGGGCTGCTGCTGGAGCTGGGGGAGCAGAGAGGGGAGTCCTGGGCTGGAGCTGGGAGGGCATGGGGGTTTTGGGGGTGGTTTTGCAGCCCCCCCTGTGCAGGGGCTGATCTGGGGAGTGGGTTCCCACAGGGCTGGGGCTTGGTTAGATCCTTGAAGGGAGGGCAGGGGGCAAGAGTGAGGCCCAGGCAGGGCGGGGGTCCCTGTGGGGTCTCTGTGGGGTTTGAGGGCTGGTTGTGGGGGTCCTGGCAGGGCATGGGGTTGCTGGGAGATGGGAATGGGGCCCCAGCAGGAGGCACGGTGGGGATGGGGGCCGTCTCCCCCACAGTGTGGCTCCAGGTGACCCTCCCTTTTGCCCCCCATCCCCACAGGTTGCAGCCAACCCCAGGGACGATGCGGCCCGCAGTTTCCATCGCTCTGGCCCTTGTGGCTCTGCTGGTCCTGGCAGGTAGGAGCCTGGAGCGGGTCCCTGGGATGGTGTATGTGTGTGTGTGCACACATATGTGCACATGCATGTGCGTGTGTCCTGGAGGAGCATGCGTGTGCAGGCAGGGGCTGCACGGGCATGAGAAGTAGTGGGGGAGGGAAGGCAGGTGCGTGGAAGCGGACAGACATGTCTGACCAGTCTCTGGTGTCTGTACTTCATATAACACGCGTGTCCTATCCTGCCGTGTTGCGCCGCATTGCATCGCATCTTGCTGTCTCCCCTGCGGGGCAGGGCTGGTGCCTGTTGCAAGTCTGCAGTGCTCAGGCACCCACAGCCACCCCGGTGTGCCCAAGGAAATCAATCACTTGACAGATGCCTGGAGTCTTGCCAGCCCCAGCTGCCTCACGTGCACGTGCATGTGTGTGCAAGCATGTGCCATGGGTGTCTGTGTGTCAAGCAGCAGTCTGGAGACCCACGTGTCCATAGGGCAGGAATTTGGTTGGGCGGGGGGGGGGGGGCATGGGCACTTGACATCTGCCTTGGGAGACCCCCACCTGGGCACATCTGTCTTGGCACTCGCCTCCCAGATTCTCCGCTGGGCACTGTGCGAGCCTGGCACAGCCAGTGTTGCTCCCCGCAGGCTCCGTGCCCAGGCTGTGACACAGCAGAGGAGACCGTGTATGTCCTCCCTTGTTTTACTGGTATCCAGTGACCGGCTCTGGGGGCTGGGTAGGGTCGAGGCAGGCATCCTGCCCAGGCCCCCCTCACTTCCACCCTGCCCAGGCACAGCCAGCTGATGCTTCCTCCCCACAGACTCTGCCCAGTCGGAGCCAGGGGAGCCGACCCTGATGCAAAAGCTGGAGCAGTTCAAGGAGAATGTGAAGGACTTCGCTGACACCATTGGGGAGAAGACCAAGGCAGCCTTGCAGGAGCTGCGTGACAGCGAGTTCAGCACCAAGACCCGGTGAGCAGGCGGGCGGCTGTGGGGCCCTGACCCTCTCCCCGCTCCCTGGGGCTGGGCCTGGTGGAGGGGGAAGGCTTAACGAAGTTGAGGTGGATGGTGACGCCAATCCTGGCCCTGGCTCAGAGGGGCTGGTGCTGCGGGTCTGCCAGCTCCCCAGGGAGCTGGGAGAGCGGTGGAGGGGCTGGACCCGCTGATGCCCTGTGCTGATGCCCTGTCCCTTGCCTGGCAGGAACTGGTTCTCTGAGCACTTCAAGAAGGTGAAGGAGAAGCTCAAGGACACGTTTGCCTAGGACTGGCCCGATTCAGTGGGGGAATGGGGGTCTCCAGGCAGCCCCCAGCCATGCCCAGTATCTCGCTGGTGGCCTTGTTCCTGCCTCCCTCGCTCTGTAGCCATGAATTAAAGCACTGCTGCCTTCGTATCCTGGCATCCACTCAGTCTCCCCTGCTGCGTACTGCCTGCCCCTTCACCATGGAGGGCTCGGACCCCTCCCTGTCCATCCTGGATGGTTCTGCTACGTGCACATGCATGTGGGGCTGAGCCCCAGGCTCCCGTGCCCACCTGGCTCCACCCCTGTGTGCAACCTTGTTGCATGGGTGGTGCAGCACATGGATTGACAAACACGTGTGCATGCACGTGGCTGCGGCACTCCAGCCTGGTGAGATGGTGGGAAGAGCTGCTGGAAGGCGACCCCGGTTCAGGCACAGACGGTGCTGGGGGGACCCAGCCTGTCCCTCCTGCCGTCAGCATTTCTGGACTGGGCGCAAGGCTGCAGCCCAGCTGGTCAGGCGCTGGGCGTGCATTTGCTGCAGTCTCGTGTGCCCAGAATAGATTGGCTTGTCTCTGGGCTGCAATGAACATGGTAAAAGGGGGCCAGGAGGGCCTAAGTGGGTGCTGGAGGTCTCCACGGGCTCTCTGTACCCCCAGACCAGGTCCCCTGTCCCAGCCCCATGTGAGGGCAGCACAAGGCAGTGCCAGCTTCCAGCATCTGAGTCTGGGGTGAGCAGAGTCCAGGCCTGGGTGCAGGAACCAGCTGGGTAAGGTGAGGCACGGCCTGGAGTACGAGAGCTATGCCCATGTGTGCCCCATATGCCTGGGTACCACATGTGTGCATGTGTCTGCGTGTGTTTCTTCATACAAGATGTGAGCACATGTGTCCCGGATACCTGATTTCCATGCATGTGCATGTGTCTTCGTGTATTTCTCCAGCAGACAAGGTGTGAACACGTGTGCCCTGTGTGTCTGCATGTGTTCCTCCAGCTGGGGGAAGCCAGTCTCGGGCTGCTGGCAGGGAAGGGGCCCCATCGCCAAGGCAGGGAAGGGGCCCCATCGGCAAGGCCCTTTCAGAGCTGGGGGGCATGGGCCGGGCCGGGCCGGCCTTCCCGGCTGCCGGGGGGTGGATGAAACCCCAGGCGCAAACATTGCGACAGAGCAGAGCAAAGGGCTGGGGGGCAGGATGGCACGTACCCAACCTGCCTGCTCATCACTCCGAGCTCTTCAGCAAATAACCTTTTGGACTCCTGCTCTCCCTTGCCGGCCTATTGCAGCCCAGTGGGGCCTTGGCTTTGTGCCTTTGTGCCCAGCTCAGTGCCTGGGGCCTGTTGCTCTTCCCGGGAGTGCGGGGTGCTGCGCAGGGTGGTTCTGCTACAGCCCAGATGCCGCAGCACAGCCAGGGGCAGAGAGGAGGAGCACAGGGGAGTGGGCGGCTTGGGGTGCACAGGCGTGAATGGTAGAGATGGGCAGGCAGACCCAGGGTGCGAGGACGAGATGGCCAGTCACGTAGGGAAATGGCCCTCCCGCCCACGGCACTGTGTGCCCCCAGAGGCCATGGCCGCGCCCCTCCCAGGCCCAATAAATATTGTGGGCAGCTGGTGCCCGGCAGAGGGCTTGCGCTGTGGGCAAGTTGTGCTTAGCTGGACGCAGGATCCTGCCTCGGATCCCTGCCTCGCTTGCCACCACCACCATGGGCCCCCGCGTCCTTGCCGGGGTCTGCCTGCTGCTCCTGGCCATGGCCTGGGGTGAGTGAGGTGCGGGCACTGTGGTGCAGCTGAGGCCTTGCTCTCATCTGGGAGCTGCGGTGCAACAGGGCCCAGGGCGGTCGCATGGGCAGGGGGGCAGGGGCCCGGTCCCTGCTCAGTGCAGGGGGTGCTGGGATCAGGGCCCCCAGGTCCCGTTGCCCCAGGCTGCCAGGTTTTCTGTGGACCCTGGGGCGTCTCTATGTGACCCCACTGACCAGGACCCAGGGCATGCTGTACACGGTACCTGAGCCCTCATAGCTGCCTGGGCTGTGAGCTGCCCTTCTGCTCTCCCCTCCACAGTGCCTGGCTTGGAGGGCAGCCCTGTGAAGGAGGAGCAGATGCAGGGGGATGATTGGAGTGTCTCGGGCATCCTCCGCAGTGTCCTTGTTCAGCCACTGCAGAAATTCGCCGGTGACGTCACCTCTGCCATCACTTCCACTGAGAGCTGGAAGAAGCTCAAGTGAGTGTCCCAGGGTGGGCGGGGGGCGTGAGCAGGAAGCATGGCAGCGCATGCATGTGCACATCGGGGCGTGTATGTGTGCGCCTGCACCCGTGCGGAGACCTGCACTTTGTGCATGCATGTTGTGTGCACGTGTGCTCTTTTGTTCACAGGCATGCTGGTGGGGCAGGGCTGGTCTGTGCCCCTGCTTGTCTGCCTGGGGAGGGAGGTGTTGGGCTGGGACCTTCCCTGGCTGGCGTCTCACTGCGTGGGCTCTCCCTGCAGGACACCTGGCCATGGCTTCATCACCCCCGCCGTGGGGCTCGTCAAGGAGCTGTACGACGAGTACCTGGCCTGGGTCTGGCCCCGGCTGTGGGAGTGGACTGAGGAGCAACTGGGCCAGGGCAAGGGCGCCGGACAAGCCTAAACCCTCCCCCCCCCCCACCAATAAAGGCGTTTGCAGCCGCATGGGGGGTGGCCTCTTCCTGGGCACCGAGAGGGGATCATGTCCCCATCCTGCTGTATGTTCGTGCACATGTGCGTGCATCTGTCCGTGCAGAGGAAACCTGCCCAGACTCCCTGAGCACCCCGGGGGGGCTCCTGAGGGCCAGTGTTGATGCAGGGGAGCCAGGCACCCACCGTGCCCCTCCCCACCTGGACTTCATCGCAGGAGGGAGGAGGAAACCCGGAGTGACGTGTACATGGTCACACCACGACCTCCCCCCTTCCCCCTCCTCATCCCACCCTCCAGAGCCAGGAGAGGAGCCGGGTGTCTGGGTGCTCAGGCTCGGGGAGGGGGTGCATGGCTGGGTCAGCAGGGTTGCTGTTGTTGTAGGGGCAGGCTCTGTCTCCCCCCGCCAGCCCATGTGCTGTGTGTGCACCTGGCTTGGCCCCGGGAAAGCCACACGGCCCCATCACGGCACTTGGGGGGGGAAGTGCCCAGCATGGGGCTGAGCCCAGCAGGGAGGCCCGACTCCTCCCCGTCTGCCCATGGGAGGGAGCTGGGTCCAAGGAAGGGGTGCAGGAGGGGCTGAGCCCTTCAGAGGGGTGCAGCAAAGGGGTCTGGGCCAAGGGCGTAGGTCTGATGGGGGCTGGGGAGGCCCTGGGGGAGGTCAGTGGAGCTGGCGGTGTGGGGAGAAGGGGCAGGGTTGATGCACAGGGGCTGGCAATGGGGGAGGCAGGGGGCTGTGTTGGGGCACATGCTGCCCATGAAGGTGTGAGGGGTTTGGAGGGGCTGGTTCCCCCCCGGGGTCTCTGTGCAGCTAGGCCCGGTCTGTGCTTGGTGGGAGGTGTTTGCCAGGTCGCAGCCTTGGCCTGGTCCTGTTTGCCTGGACTTAGCCCCGGGGCCATGTCACTGCGGCGCCAGCTTCTAGGAAAGGGGGGCTGCGGCTTTCCACCTGCCCCTATAAAGGTGCTGGCTCCAACCTGGGGCCAGAGCCACTGCGGCTGCCACCAAGTATGTGCCCAGCTGCAGGCCCCAGCCCCAGCTCCCCCACCCTGCCTGGCTTTGGGGCGGGGGTAAGGGGTCACCTGTGCCCTGGCCTGGATCAGGACCCTGTGGCTGGTGGGGAGGGCGCCGGGGAGGGTTTGCCTGGGCCTCTGTGCCACGTGCCCTGGATTGGGACTGTCTTCTCTAGCTGCCCTTGCCTTGCTCCCCGGTAGGTCTGTGCCTCTTGCTCCAGGCTCCGGGCATAGACTGGAAGGGCACTCGGTGGCAGGTACGTGGGGATGGCGGCTTCGGGACATCCTGCCCTGGGGTCCCCCGGGCTGGGGGCTGGTGGCAGGGCTGCAGCCTGGAGGAAGGAGTAGGGTGGTGTGGAGCTGCGGGGAAGGAGTCTTGGGGGGGCTCAGCCCCTTGGAGGGGTCCTGGCATGTCCCCTTTGTCCCACCTGCCCTGGCCCAGCTGTGACGGTGTCTCCTGTCCCGCAGCGTCTCCGGCCAGGATGGATCTGAAAGTCGTGGCTGTCTCCTTCCTGCTGCTGGTCCTCTGCTCGGGTGAGCGATGCCAGAGCCTCACAGTCCCCCCAAACCCGCTCCAGCTGCAGGCTCAACCCAGGGAGCTGCAAGCAGCTGCTGCTGATTTTGGGGGGGCTCTCCCTTCCCCTCCCTCTTCCTGGGATCGGGCCCTTGCTCCCCCAGCCCTGGCTGCTTTGCTTTAGGGCTGGAGCACCCTGGCTTTCCCCTGCGGCGGATGGGGTGCTGGACTCTGCAGCCTGTCCCGGGTGCTCCCAGCCCTGCCCAGCTCCCTGCCCTCCAGACAAGACCCTGTGCAGCTGGCGGGAGCGAAGGGGGTGGTAGCGTCTCTCCGGGCCAGTGTGCACTGCCGGAGCCTCTGTCCATGCCCTGCACCAGACTCAGGCCCATGAGCCCCAGGTCCTCGGCTGGGGTCCACAGCGTCGGGCCCCTTGACCTGAGCCACCCCCCGACCCTGCAGAGGCTGCCGGCTACCAGCTCTTGACCTGGGAGCAGGCAAACACCGCGGTCAAGGGGCTGCTGGACAAGGTCCACTCCACTGGCGTTGAGAAGCTCCGGTAAGGGCTGGGGGGAGTGGGGCTGGGGGAGGCCATGGCCCCACCCACAGGGTAAGTGGTGGGGGGAGCGGGGCCAGGGGGAGGCTGTGGCATCACTGATGGGGTTGGTGCTGCTTCTGCTGCCGTCTGGGGGCTGCGGTGGGGGCCTGGCATGTCCCTTGTGCTCCCCGAGCCGCACCAGGACTCTGCTCAGCTGCTTTGAGGGACCTCTGCTTCCCTGAGCCCCTTGGGTTGCTCCAGTCCCCTGTGCCACGTGGCGGGTGCCTGCAGGCATGGGGGCTGCTTTTTCCTTCTCCGGACCCTTGTTAGCCTGTGGCAACGAGGTCGTGGCCCTGGAATGCCACGGGCGACATGGTCGTTCCCCCCCCGCCCCAGGGATGCCTGTGCCCGTGCTGTCCCCAGGAGCGTCTCCTAATGGCTGCACTCCCCTCCCCAGGGACATCTACGACAAGAGCGTGGACGCGGTGGGCACCTACACAAGCATCCTGACGGACCAGCTGTACCACTGGTGGAGTGGGGAGCAGTGACATGCCCGGTCCCCGCTCCATCCCCCTGCCAGGAGCAGGTTCATTCAGCTCCACATCTCTTCCCTGCCTCATGCTGACACTTTTGTCCCTGTGACCCAATAAAACGAGTTCCTCACGATGGAGACCGGGCTCCTCCTGTTCTCCATGTTCACGCATGGACACGGTCACGCTCAGGCACACAGCCGGAGCCACAGGTGCGGGAGTTCAGTGGCAGGGCGTGAAGCCAGGCATCTGGTCCCCCTTTCTGGCCCTCTGGGCTCCCATTCAGACTAAGAGGCAGTGGGCACAGGCCACAGCAGCACAGCCCCGGCGCCCCGTGGGTCCGGACTGGCTGTGACGGGCCCTCGGTCCCCGGGGTGGAGGGAGCATGGCCACCAGGCTGAGCCCTGGGGCGGGCACTGTGCTGTGGCCTGCCCTTACGCAGCACTGGCTGGGCCAGAGATGAGGTCTGCCTCCGCATGGCCGTGTCCCAGCAGCGCCCAGCGCTGCGTCCTCCTCCACGTAGGCAGGCGGCCCCAACCTTTAGCCTCGACCTGCTCCTTGCTGCCATGTCAGAGGGGGAGGGCAGGTCAGGGCACATTCTGTCCTCCCTCCTTCCCCCCCCACACCACATGCTGGGTGATAAGGGTTAATGTGCTGCTAATCCCGGGAAGGGGGGAAGGTTGCCTGATAAGGGTGGAAACAGGGCTAGGGCCAGGCTGTGGCCTGCAAACAAACATTGATAAGGGCTGGCAGCTTTTGAACATCCAAGTTGCCATGAGAGGCAGCAGGCACGGGGCTGGGGGTAGGGACTGGGGGCTGCAGGTCTGGGGGGATAGGGACTGGAGGTGGGACACGGTGAGGGGGACTGGGGGGATAGGGACTGAGGGCCACATCCCTGGGGGGATAGGATCTGGGGGGCTGCATGTCTAGGGGGATAGGGGCTGGGCAGGGGAGCAGGACTGGGGGGCAGCCCAGCTCATGCGTCTGTCCCGGTCTGGGTTTATGCCCACCGGGGAAGTGCTGTCCCTAGCAGGTGCTCCCAGGGCCTGCCCTGGCACCGGGCTAAGGGAGCTGCCGTGGGGCAGGGCAAGGTGCCCAGGACTGGGCCCAGGCCGGCTCCCTGCAGCGGGTGCAGTGCTGGGGTGTGGCCACCAGGTGGCAGGAGCCGCCCGGCTCCGAGCCCGGGCTCGCAGGGCGCAGCGGGCTGTGGGCAGACGCGCACGGCTTGTACTGGGGTAGCCTGGCTCCAGAGCTGCTGAGGGGCTGCTTGGCCCCAGCACCTGCGTGTGCAGCTGGCCTAGTTCTCTGTGCATATGTATGCGTGTGTGCACGTGTCGGGGACGGGGTGCCCTCTCCGAGCTGTGAACCGCGCTGCAGCTGTGTCGTGTCTGCCTGCCCGAGAGAGGGAGGGCGGTGCATGTGCCCTGCTTGGGGCTAGGCCAGTGGCCCCCAGCATCCAGTCCCCAGGTCCGGGGCAGGTTGTGGGGCTGCACGAAGCCCAGCACCTGGCACCTCGGTTCGGGCATGTGGGGAGTCGCTGGCCATGGCGGAGGGAGGGCTGCATATGCAAGGCCTGCTCTGGAGGTTGTGCAGGGGTCTGAACCTGCACCAGGCACAGGCTGAACCCCCCCCCACCCCATGGGCCGGGATGTGCCTGGGCTCCTGGGATATCTCTAGCCCCACTCCCCCCTCCCCCCTGGGAACGCAGCAGGTGGAGGGAAGGGCTGTTTACCTGGGAGAAGGACGTTTCTGTTTCCAGTCCCTCTGCACCAGCTGAGGTGGCCGGCAGGGCGAGGATAAAAGGCCGCCGAGCACCACCTCAGTCCTGGATGCGATGGAGCTCCTCATCTTGCTTCTGCTGAGCGTGGCAGGTACCCCCCTCGAGTGCCTGCCGCACCTCGGGTCTGCCCTGGCCCCCCCACCCCACTCTCCCAGCCCCTCCGCTTGCCTTGCAGTAGCTGCACGCCCCTACCAGGAGGACGATGGCGACAGGATAATCAGCGGGTACGAGTGCCAGCCGCACTCCCAGCCCTGGCAGGTCTTCTTCACCCATGGTGACAACTACCGCTGGTGCGGGGGGGCCCTCATCAGCCCGGAGTGGGTCATCTCCGCAGCCCACTGCTACAAGCCGTAAGTAGGGTGTCATGGGCCGGCCCATCTGGGGCTCGCAGGGGCCGCGGTGCTGAGGTCACATACTGACCCATGCCTCTTCCCTGCCCCCCCAGGACGCTGGTGGCCCATCTTGGCGAGCATGACACGACGGCCCAGGAGGGCTTTGAGCAGCACATCCGGGCGGTCAAAGCCATCCGCTTCCCCAAGTACAATGCACGGACACTGGACAACGACCTCATGATGGTGAAGCTGGTCCAGCCGGCCCAGATTGACCCGTATGTGCAGCCCATCCGCCTCTCCCGCAGCTGCCCTGTGTCAGGGACCGATTGCCTGGTGTCCGGCTGGGGGAACCTCCTCACGGATGGCGGTAAGATCCTGGGGGCGAGAGACAAATGTTGGGGGGGCTCACTGGGGGCCTGAAGGAGAGTGGAGTCGATCCAGACTCACTCCAGTCCTGCTGGCTGTGTCTGACTCTGCCTGACGCCTGCCCTCTGCCTCCGCTTCAGTGCAATACCCAGGGCGTCTGCAGTGCCTGCAGGTGCCCATCCTCTCCGAGTCCACCTGCCGCAGCTGCTACCCTGGTGCCATCACGCGGAACATGTTCTGCGCCGGCTACGTGCAGGGTGGGAAGGACTCCTGCCAGGTATGACAGGGATGGGCTAGGGGCTGGGGGCCCGGGCTGCCTCTTAGATGGGAGCGTGCTGGGGTGCAGAGGTCTGTAATGCCCATGACCTCCTGTCATGATGCTGCTGTTCTCTGGTGTGGCCTGGCTCAACCCAATAGCTGCCCTGGCCCCAGCCCTGCCTTGGGGTTTGGGGCTGCTTGAAGGCGCCTTGATGCTGCTGGGCCTGGTGCTTCCTACTGTGGCACCGGGATCCAGCGGGGGTGACCGGAGGTGCCCCCAGCCCTGCACAGGCCCCTCATTCTCTGCCTGGCTCCTGCTTGTCTCCTGCAGGGCGACTCTGGCGGGCCGCTGGTCTGCAATGGGGAGCTGACTGGGGTGGTGTCCTGGGGTGAAGGGTGTGCCCAGAAGGACAAGCCAGGCGTCTACACCACGCTCTGCAACTACCTGCCCTGGATCCAGGAGGTCATGGCCAACAACTGATGTGCTGGGCTCCTGGCTGTGCTGGATCGCCCATGCCTTCCCTGCCCGGACACGAGTGCTCTGCACGGAGGCAGGCGGCTGGACCAGAGCTGGGGCAGGGGCTTTGCAGCAAACACCAGCCGGATGGTGACATGAAACCCCAAACTCACAATAAAGTTCAGTGCCAAACTCCCGTCTTCGTGTCCATGGTTCTCACGGTGCCCGCCCCTCCCCATGTGCCCTGATGGGCAGCTTCCAGGCTCATCTCTGCCCCAGCAGAGATTGAAGCCCCCGATATAGCTGGGCCCTGGGTTTACAACTACGTTCTCAGGGTGCAGACCCCCTCTCGCTGTGCCCAGAGCTGAGGCCTCTTCTCTGGTCCCCTGACACTAGCACTGGTCTCCCCTGTTTCTCAAGCACATCTGTCCCAGCTCCTGATCCTGTGGGCTCGGCTTGGGGTCTGTAAGGCGGGAGGGAGGGGGCAGCCAGCACGGGGCCTGCATGGGCTCCTGAGGCAATTGCTTCAGGTGGTGCAGGGGACGGCACAGGCTGGTGACTGCAGATGCCTGCAGCCCACCTCCTGCCCCCGACTCAGGAGCTCAGGACCCTCCACTTCCCCCACCCCAGTGGGCCAACAGTTTTGGAAACCTGCTTTAGGAGGCCCAGCCCGCTGCCCTTGGATGGGCTTTGGAAGGGCTGTAACCCCCTACTCCTTCCCTGCTGCCGTCTCTGCGAGGGAGCCAGAGCCAGGAGGGAGCCCTGTGCTGGCTGTGCTGGGGCAGAGGCTCTGGCTCCCAGACTTGCGCGGGGCTGGGTCAGGGGAAGCAGCTCCAGCTCTGGGGGCAGCATCACCCCAGGCCTGGGAGCAGAGCAAACCCCACGGAGGAGTGTGTCAGCCCCCGCCGAGCACCTTGGAGATAAGGTGGGAGCCAGGCCTGTCCAAGCCAGCTCCTGGGGTTGCTTTTCTAGCTCAGGGCACGGCGTTGCCATCCAGTGCCCAGCAGCTGAGGCCGGGGCTGTGTCAGGAACTGCCTATGGCTGAGGTGTCGGTGGGGACTGGCGAGTCCAGCCCCATGGGAGCAGCAGGGATGGGGCGAGTCACGTGGCCCTGGGTGCGGATGATCCACGGCCCCTTCCAAGCCCCTCCCATGGGTGCCCCTGCACCCACCCACCCCTTCTCCAAGGCACTCACCCCTCCCTGCCCGCACTGGGGCCCCGTGTTCGGCACTGGTTGCTGGGGGGCAGTGCAAGACCCAGCCCCGCAGGCTGCCACGATGCCAGACCCGGGCAGCTCTGAGTGGTTGGAGGGCATGTCCACCCTGCTGCCCCCGCACCTGGGCCTGGCTGGAAGGCAGTGGCTGTGGGAGGCACCAGCCAAGGGGAAGGTGCAGCTGGACTGGGCTCAGGGGCAGCCGGGTCAGGTGTTGCCTTGGACATGATTGATGGCGACGCCGGGACTCGTGGGAACACGGCATCTGCTGCTCCGGGTGAGCCGCCCTGTTCTCATCCCTGTCCCCATCCCTGTCCCCGCCCCGTGGTGGCTCCCCTATAAGTCCCCGGCACCGGGCCCGGCTCATTCCTGCCCTGCTGCCTACACAGAGATGTCGATGTGGCTCGTGCTGCTGTTTCTGGGGGTGGCAGGTACCGGGGGTGAGGGCTGCGGATGGGACATGGCTGCAAAGCCCCCTGACATGCGACAGGCCTGCAACAGCTGCAGGGCCACGGCAGAGCCAGCAGCAAGCCCAGGGCCTCAGGGTCACCCTGGGGACCTACTGCCTGGCACCAGCCCCATCCTCCACCCCCATGCACCACCTTCCTTGAGTGTGGGTGCAGCTGTGGGGACACACTTGTTAGTGATATGCCCATGCCCTGGCCTTCCCCAGCCCACGGGCTCCATGCGGCTGCCCTGTCTCTAGCATGCAGGGCTGGGGGCCCTGGCAGTGCCCATACTCCAGGGCCCTAGCCCAGTGCCAGCCTGGCCACTGCCACCCCATGCAAACCCCGTGGGCGCCGGAGTGAGCGCTTTCATTGTTCATTTCCTCCCATGACCCATCGCACCCAAGATTAGCGCGGCTGCAAGGTGGTGCTCCGGGCACCAGCTGCATGTCTCTGATATCAGGGAGCGAAACCAGGCGCAGTATTTCTGGGTGCTCCTGCTCTGCGCCAGGGCTTGGGTTTCCGCATGCAGCAGGGAGCTTCGGAGCACCCAGAAAATGCTGAGGCTCCCTGAGCCCACGCTGCAGCCAGTCCAGGGAGGCCGTGTCCACAGGGAGCCCCTTCCCCACCTGGGGGGATGCTTGCCTGCAGCTTGGGACCTGCCTTCTCAGCCAAGCAGCAGCCCTGATTTGGGAGTAACCACTGAGTCCTCCCTGCAAAGTCTGAAGCGGTGCCTGTCTCCCCACAGCTGCTGCCCCGCCAGGCGCTGACAGGATCATCGGGGGCTATGAGTGCAGACCACACTCCCAGCCCTGGCTAGCTTCCCTCAACTTGGGCTACCACTCATGTGGTGGAGCCCTGATCGCTGACCAGTGGGTGGTGTCGGCTGCCCACTGTGCATACTAGTGAGTACAGTCCTGTGTGCGCGTGTGTGTATACGTGTGCAAGCTGGGGCTGGCAGGGAGAGGGTGGCCCACTGCTCCTAAAGCATGTGGCAGGTGCTGAGGGGGGGCTTACATGTGTGCATGTGTGTGTACCTGCATGCACATGTGTAAGCCTGTGTGTGTGCAACTGCACGTGTCAGTGCCACTGTGCTAATGTGGCAGCTCTGGAAGCAGGAGCAGATCGGGGCTGCATGGGGGCTCAGGGGGCTGCTGGAGGGGCAGCACTGAGCGGCCTGGTGCCCCCCTCCCCTTGCCCCCCACCCAGTGCTCAGGCCATGCTGGTGATCCTGGGGGAGCACAACCTGCAGGTCTTCGAGCACACTGAGCACCTGATGCATGTGGAGACCGTGGTGACGCATCCCAACTACAACGAGGAGACGCTGGACTACGACATCATGCTTGTCAAGTTGGCCCAGCCTGTGCAGCGTGATGCCAATGTGCAGCCTGTCGCCCTGCCCACGGCCTGCGCCATGGCCGGCACCTCCTGCGTGATGTCGGGCTGGGGCAACACCCAGAGCAACGGAAGTGAGTCGCCCCCTCCCTGCCCCCGGAGTCTTGGTGGCTCAGCGCTGGGTGACCCCATTATCCACCTGCTGGGTGGGTGGGTCTGTGCAGGGGGCCTGGGGCAGGACGGGGCAGGGGGTGGGGGGGCTGTGTTATACCAGCCAGCGCAAGCATGGGAGGGTGCCCAGCGCTGGCCTCAGGGTCCCGGTCACTGCCAAAGGCAGCTAATTCTTGCCGGCATGCGTGCACTTGCCCGGGGGCTCCAGGCCCTTGTGCAGGGGGTCCAGGGAGGCATTCCCCAGGCCACAGGTGAGACTGACCTTGATCTCCCAGTCCTCAGCTGCTTTCCTTTTGCTAATCTGTGCCTGCAGCTGGGAGTTTCCCTGGGCCCCTGCTTGTGCCTGGCTGCCTCGCTCTAAGCAGAGACCAGAGGGAAGGCTCCTGCTCCAGCACTCCTTTGCCTTTACCCAGCTGCACAGCTGGACTGGTCAGAGAGAGGCCCCGGGAAACAGCCCCCAGCAGCTGCTCAGAGCTGGGGACAGGACCCAGGAGTCCCGGCTCCGGCCTCATGTTCCTCAGCCCCAGTGGCCGGCAGGGACAGGCTCAGACATCAGGTTCAGGCAGTCTGTGGTTAACAGCCCTGGGTGCGGCAGAGGCCAGCGGGCAGCAATGACCGACTGGGGGGGAGCGCTGCAGAGGGGGCGGCTGCTCTGCTGGGAGAAGCTTAGAGCCAGGAGCACTGTTTGTGGTGGAAGCAGAGTTGTTCTGTGCAGACAAACCTGGGCTGAGACCCTGCAACCAGAACGGAGGTGGCAGGTAAGTGACTCCCCCCTGCTTTACGCAGCCTGAGGACCTCCAGGGCTGGATCCCAGCCCCACGTCTCCCTCCCAGAGCACCCAGGCATCCACCCAGTATGTGCCCCAAGCAGGCTGCCAGCCGGGTGGGGATGTGTTGAGGTGCTGCCCACCTGGGCGGGGGGGGGGATGCAGTAGGGAGACCCTCAGGGCTCAGGCCTCTCCTCTGTCCTGCAGTTCTTGGCTCTGACCAGCTGCGGTGCGTGGAGGTCCCGATCCTGAGTCACCAGGTGTGCGAGGACGCCTACCCTAACAGGGTCACCAGCACCATGCTGTGCGCCGGGCATCTGCAGGGTGGCAAGGATGCCTGCGAGGTAGGAGTGCTGGGACCTGGACGCTGTGCTAGGCCCAGGAGAGGGCATGAGCACATGGCTGCAGCATAGGGGCTGGCAGGGGATGCAGCCCCTTGCTGGAAGCTGACGACACCTTCCCCTTCTGGCATAGGGTGATGCTGGCGGGCCACTGGTCTGTGCCGGAGAGCTGCAGGGCATCATGTCCTGGGGCTTTGGCTGGGCCCAGAAGAACTACCCTAGTCTCTACACCAAGGTCTGCGACCTGCTGCCCTGGATCCAGGACACCATGGCCACCCGCTAGCTGGGATGGGGCAGCGCTGCCAGCTGGGGAGTGGGCAGGGCATCCTGGCACCCAGGAAGACACAGCACACACATGTCCCGTGTGCGTGGCTGGCTGTCCTGGCACCGGGATGTGCCTTGCGCTGTCTCTCCCCAATAAACCCCATCTTGGCATCAGCACACTGTTTTCTGCCTCCTGTTTTCTGGCCGGCACTCCATGATGAGGGTCCGTGAAGCCGCTGGGGGGGCACACTGCGCAACATGACCCGAGAGCTGAGGGGCCCGGGGCTCAGCGTGCCCAGGAGAGCAGGGCAAGCTGTGGGCATGGGGCGGGGAGGCACCTCTTCTGCAGACCCCGTCTGATCCAGCGCCGGCAGGGGCAGGGCTGGATGTGGCACAGGCCCCGTGCAGGGAAATGCTGCTTTGTGGGAGAAGTGGGGGTGTGGGGGGGTGATGCTGCCAGGGCTGCTGAGCAGGTGAGACACCCCAGGTATTTGCCTCTTGCCCACCCTAGCCTTTAACCACATTAAGAAACTGCACACCCGTTACAAAAACACACCTGCTCGCTTGCGCCCCCATGTACCCACCCGCTGCTCTTCCCTAACCCAATCCAAGTCCCTTAGTCCAGGCCCCGATTTGGGGTTTGCGCTCTCATTTCTAGGCTCCACACCCCGCTGAGAGCTGGGATACAGCCCAGGCGTCCTGGCCCCCAGGATACTGGCTCTTGACTTCACTCCCCTCCCAGAGCTGGGGAGAAGACCCAGGGTTGGGTCCTGGCTCCCGGCTTCCCCCCGGGACCCCTGCTTCCCTCTGGAGTTAGCAGCAGAGTCCAGGGACCAGCACCCGTAGGCAGCGGTGCTGGGCCAGCAGGTCTGTGCTGTGCCAGGCTTGACGGTGGTTTTCCTGCAAGGTCGGGTGATGGGTTTGTCTGGGCTGGTTTGGACAGGGCTGCTGCTGCCTCGGGCAGGGCTCAGACTAGGCGAGAGCTCTGCCGGGCCCCTGCCAGCCCAGCAGCTCCAAGATGCCTGCGGTGTTGGCCGGACCCAAGGCTGCAGCTGCTTGCCCGGTGCCCTGTCTGCGGCCACGTGTGCAGAGCAGTGTGCAGGAGCTGCCATGGCTTGCTGCGTTTGACAAGCTCGGGATTGCTGTGCGTGCATTGCTCCCGGCCCCCAGGCCCATGCCCTGTCCCCTCTCAGGGCAAGCTCCACCAGGAACGGCCCCCTGAGTTGGGTCTGCTGCAGTCGGTGGGATTGCTCTGGCCCTGCCTGTGCTCTGGGCGCCTGCCTTTGACTCAGCCTTGGGCTGCTGCAGCTGTATCCTGCTGGGCTGTGATGAATGGATGGAGGGGAGAGGACCCTTGTGCCCCACGCAAGACCTGGCCTCCAGGGCAGATGCAGGGGGGTGAGCTTGCAGAGCCCCTTAGGCAGGGAAATACCATGACCAAGCCGGGGATGGCCCATGTGGTCCCTGTTTTCAAGAAGGGGAGGAAGGAGGACCAGGGTAATTATAGGCCAGTTAGCCTCACCTCTATTCTTGGCAAGACCTTAGAAAAAATCATAAAGGATCATATTTGTGGGGGTCCAGTGGGTAATACAATGTTAAGGGGCAACCAGCATGGGCTTATAGCAGGTAGATCCTGCCTGACTAACCTGGTCTCTTTTTATGACCAGGTCACAAAGTGCTTAGATGCAGGGGTAGAGGTAGAGGTTATTTACTTGGATTTTAAAAAGGCCTTTGACGCAGTGTTGCACCCAATTCTTACAAGTAAAGTAAGTAGCTGTGATGTGGATTTTTTCACAGTCAGGTAGGTGGAAAACTGGCTTATGGGATGCACTCAGAGGGTGGTGGTGGATGGGTCGGTTTCTACCTGGAGAAATGTGGGCAGTGGCATCCCCCAGGGCTCGGTCCTTGGACCAGTGCTGTCCAATATCTTCATCAGTGATCTGGATGAGGGTGTAGAAAGCACCTTGTCCAGATTCGCAGACAACACCAAACTGTGGGGTATAGTAAACACACTAGAGGGGAGGGATCAAATTCAGGTGGATTTAGATAGATTGGGGAAGTGGACAGATCAGAATAGGATGTAATTTAACAAAGAGAAGTGCAAAGTACTGCACGTGGGGAGAAGGAATCACCAGTATGTCTATAGACTGGGAAGTACCCAGTACTTTAAGTAGCACGGCAGCCGAAAGGGATCTGTGAGTCATAGTCGTTCTAAAAGTGAACATGAGTCGCCAACGTGACGAGGTAACAAGTAAGGCTTGCATTAGCAGGTGCATCACGAGCAGGTCCAGGGAGGTGATACTTCCCCTTTATGCGGCATTGGTGAGGCCGCAGCTGGAGTACTGCGTCCAGTTTCGGGCACCGCACTTCAAGAGGGATGCAGATAACCTAGGAAGGGTTCAGAGGAGGGCTACTCGTATGATTGAGGGCCTACAGGTAAGATCCTATGAAGACGGACTGAGGGACTTGAATCTCTTCAGCCTCTGGAAGAGATGGCTGAGAGGCGATCTTGTGGCGGTCTATAAACTCATCGCGGGGGGTCAGCAGGGAATAGGAGATACTCTACAGGGCACCCCCCGGGGTTACTAGAAACAACGGCCATAAACTGAAGGAGAGCAGATTTAGGCTGGAGATCAGGAAGAAATTCTTTATAGTGAGGGTTGCCAAAATCTGGAATGGGCTTCCAAGGGAGGTGGTGCTGTCCCCTGGCTTGGAGGTGTTCAAGAGGAGGTTAGACAAGTACCTGGCTGGGGTCACTTGACCCCAGCGCTCTTTCCTGCCTAGGGCAGGGGATGGACATGCTGATCTAATAGGTCCTTTCTGATGACAAGCACAAGACATACCCAGGTAAGAGACCTGGATAGTACTGGGATTAGGGGGGTGGTGCATACACCTTCAGAAGGCCTTAAATGTCTATACACCAATGCTCGTAGAAACAAGCAGGAGGAACTTGCCCTCCTGCTAGCTAACACAAACCCAGACATAATGGAGCTCACTGAAATGTGGTGGGATCCAATGCATGACTGGGCGGTGAACATCAAGGGCTATAGGCTGTACAGGAGGGATCGGACAGGGAGGAAAGGTGGGGGTGTGGCGCTTTATGTCAAAGAACAATTCACATCCTCAACAAGCAGCGCTGGGTCAGAGGAGGGGCAGGCTGAGGTGCTCTGGATCTGTATACACCAGGGTTGTGGGGAAAGGGACCTAACAGTGGGGGTCTACTACAGACCACCCAACCAGGGAGAAGAGCTAGACGAGGAATGCTCAGGTCAGCTCATGGAGGCAGTTAGGTCAAGGGATGTAGTCATGGGTGACCTAAACTACCTGGACATCTGCTGGGAAGAGCAGTCAGCCAGGTCTGACCGCTCATGTAGGTTCCTAGCCGAGTTACAGGACCTCTATCTAACCAGGGGGGTGAGCTTGCAGAGCCCCTTAGGCAGGGAAATACCATGACCAAGCCGGGGATGGCCCATGTGGTCCCTGTTTTCAAGAAGGGGAGGAAGGAGGACCAGGGTAATTATAGGCCAGTTAGCCTCACCTCTATTCTTGGCAAGACCTTAGAAAAAATCATAAAGGATCATATTTGTGGGGGTCCAGTGGGTAATACAATGTTAAGGGGCAACCAGCATGGGCTTATAGCAGGTAGATCCTGCCTGACTAACCTGGTCTCTTTTTATGACCAGGTCACAAAGTGCTTAGATGCAGGGGTAGAGGTAGAGGTTATTTACTTGGATTTTAAAAAGGCCTTTGACGCAGTGTTGCACCCAATTCTTACAAGTAAAGTAAGTAGCTGTGATGTGGATTTTTTCACAGTCAGGTAGGTGGAAAACTGGCTTATGGGATGCACTCAGAGGGTGGTGGTGGATGGGTCGGTTTCTACCTGGAGAAATGTGGGCAGTGGCATCCCCCAGGGCTCGGTCCTTGGACCAGTGCTGTCCAATATCTTCATCAGTGATCTGGATGAGGGTGTAGAAAGCACCTTGTCCAGATTCGCAGACAACACCAAACTGTGGGGTATAGTAAACACACTAGAGGGGAGGGATCAAATTCAGGTGGATTTAGATAGATTGGGGAAGTGGACAGATCAGAATAGGATGTAATTTAACAAAGAGAAGTGCAAAGTACTGCACGTGGGGAGAAGGAATCACCAGTATGTCTATAGACTGGGAAGTACCCAGTACTTTAAGTAGCACGGCAGCCGAAAGGGATCTGTGAGTCATAGTCGTTCTAAAAGTGAACATGAGTCGCCAACGTGACGAGGTAACAAGTAAGGCTTGCATTAGCAGGTGCATCACGAGCAGGTCCAGGGAGGTGATACTTCCCCTTTATGCGGCATTGGTGAGGCCGCAGCTGGAGTACTGCGTCCAGTTTCGGGCACCGCACTTCAAGAGGGATGCAGATAACCTAGGAAGGGTTCAGAGGAGGGCTACTCGTATGATTGAGGGCCTACAGGTAAGATCCTATGAAGACGGACTGAGGGACTTGAATCTCTTCAGCCTCTGGAAGAGATGGCTGAGAGGCGATCTTGTGGCGGTCTATAAACTCATCGCGGGGGGTCAGCAGGGAATAGGAGATACTCTACAGGGCACCCCCCGGGGTTACTAGAAACAACGGCCATAAACTGAAGGAGAGCAGATTTAGGCTGGAGATCAGGAAGAAATTCTTTATAGTGAGGGTTGCCAAAATCTGGAATGGGCTTCCAAGGGAGGTGGTGCTGTCCCCTGGCTTGGAGGTGTTCAAGAGGAGGTTAGACAAGTACCTGGCTGGGGTCACTTGACCCCAGCGCTCTTTCCTGCCTAGGGCAGGGGATGGACATGCTGATCTAATAGGTCCTTTCTGATGACAAGCACAAGACATACCCAGGTAAGAGACCTGGATAGTACTGGGATTAGGGGGGTGGTGCATACACCTTCAGAAGGCCTTAAATGTCTATACACCAATGCTCGTAGAAACAAGCAGGAGGAACTTGCCCTCCTGCTAGCTAACACAAACCCAGACATAATGGAGCTCACTGAAATGTGGTGGGATCCAATGCATGACTGGGCGGTGAACATCAAGGGCTATAGGCTGTACAGGAGGGATCGGACAGGGAGGAAAGGTGGGGGTGTGGCGCTTTATGTCAAAGAACAATTCACATCCTCAACAAGCAGCGCTGGGTCAGAGGAGGGGCAGGCTGAGGTGCTCTGGATCTGTATACACCAGGGTTGTGGGGAAAGGGACCTAACAGTGGGGGTCTACTACAGACCACCCAACCAGGGAGAAGAGCTAGACGAGGAATGCTCAGGTCAGCTCATGGAGGCAGTTAGGTCAAGGGATGTAGTCATGGGTGACCTAAACTACCTGGACATCTGCTGGGAAGAGCAGTCAGCCAGGTCTGACCGCTCATGTAGGTTCCTAGCCGAGTTACAGGACCTCTATCTAACCCAGGAGGTGCACGGTCCCACCAGGGGAAATGCTGTGTTGGACCTGGTCCTGGCTATGGGCGATGACCTGGTGAGGGGTCTGTGGGTGCTCGACCACCTGAGCGATAGCGATCATCGCCTGCTGGAATTCACCATCCAGCACAGGGTGGCAAAGGCCTGCAGCAAGGCAGCAGCCCTGGACTTCAGGAGGGCCAGTTTCATTGAGCTAAGGAGGCTAGTCAGGGAGGCACTGAGGTCCCGGAGGGGAGGGGAGTTGGGAGTCCAAGAAGAGTGGTCGTTCCTGAAGGAGACGATCCTCCAAGCCCAAAGGGTGGCAATCCCAACGTGGACCAAAGGGGGCAAGAGTGCTCAAAAGCCCCCATGGCTCACCAGAAGCATCCAGGAACATCTCCTAGCTAAGAGGGAGGCATACACCCAATGGCAGGGAGGGGCATCACCAGGGAGGACTACACCTTGGTTGCTCGGGGCTGCAGGGGGGCGGTCAGGAAGGCCAAGGAGGAGATGGAACTGGGACTAGCGACCCGGATTAAAGATAACAAGAAGTCCTTTTTCAAATACATAGAGGGTAAAAAAAGAAGGTATCGGGTAATGTGGGGTCTCTGTAGGACATGCTTGGAAATCTGGTGGTCTCACCAGACGACAAAGCTAACTTATTTAAAAATGTCTTTGCCTTCATTTTTCTGAGCAGGGACCAGGTTATCCCCCCCACCGGGACCCACGATTGTCCCAGGGGAGGTGCAGCCAGGCCTAGGGTCTGCGAGGACCTAGTTGGGGAACTTCTGGAGGGACTGGACATGTTCAAATCAGCAGGTCCTGATGATCTCCACCCCAGAGTGCTGAGGGAATTAGCAGAGGTCATTGTGGGACCCCTAGCATGGCTTTACGAGCACTCATGGCTCTCAGGCGATGTGCCAGAGGACTGGAAAAGGGCCAATGTGGTCCCCATTTTCAAAAAAGGGAGGAAGGAGGACCCAGGAAACTACAGGCCCATTAGTCTTACCTCGGTCCTGGGGAAGCTCTTTGAGAAAATTATCCAGGAGCACATCTGCGAGGGGCCGGCAGGGGAGTGTATGCTTAGGGGCAACCAACACAGGGTCATTAGGGGCAAGTCCTGTCAGACCAACCTGGTGGCCTACGACCAGGTCACAAAATCCCTGGATGCAGGTGTCGCAGTGGACATAGTCTTTTTGAACTTTAGGAAAGCCTTCAACACTGTCTCTCACCCCATTCTCATTAAAAAATTAGGGGACTGTGGCATCGATGCCTACACAGTCAGGTGGGTCACTAACTGGCTGGAGGGCCGCACCCAGAGAGTGGCGGTGGACGGGTCTTATTCGACCTGGAGGGATGTGGGCAGTGGGGTCCCCCAGGGCTCGGTCCTTGGGCCCGCACTGTTCAACATCTTCATTAGCGACTTGGACGGGGGTGTAAAAAGCGCCTTGTTCAAATTTGCTGATGACACTAAGATGTGGGGAGAAGTGGGCATGCTAGAAGGGAGGAATAGGCTGCAATTGAACCTAGACAGGTTACAGGGGTGGGCGAATGAGAACAGGATGGGTTTCAACACTGACAAGTGCAAGGTATGGGCCGCCAACGTGGGGATGTGGTCAGCATGGCTATCCATACCTTGTCATGCATCCACAGATGCATCACAAGCAGGTCCAAGGAGGTGATCCTCTCCCTCTATGCGGCACTGGTCAGGCCGCAGTTGGAGTACTGTGTCCAGTTCTGGGCGCCGCACTTCAGGAGGGATGTGGACAGCGTGGAGAGGGTCCAGAGGAAGGCCACCCGCATGATCAGGGGGCAGCAGGACAGGCCCTACGAGGAGAGGCTACGGGACCTGAACCTGTTCAGCCTTCACAAGAGAAGGCTGAGAGAGGATCTGGTGGCTGTCTGTAAACTGGCCAAGGGGGACCAGCAGGCATTGTGGGGGGCCCTGTTTCCCCGAGCACTCCCGGGAGTAACAAGGAATAACAGCCATAAGTTGATGGAGAGTAGGTTCAGTCTAGACATTAGAAGGCACTATTTCACAGTCAGGGCAGCCAGGATCTGGAACCAACTTCCAAGGGAAGTGGTGCTGGCTCCTACCCTGGGGGTCTTCAAAAGGAGGCTAGATGGACACCTTGCCAGGGTCATTTGATCCCAGCAGATCCCAGTACTCTTTCCTGCCCAGGGCAGGGGGCCGGACTTGATGATCTGCTCAGGTCCCTTCTGACCCTACCTACTATGAATCTATGAAACCCTAGACATCTATGAAATCTGTGGTCTGCACCAGACACAAGTTGCTGTGGTGGTTTCATCAGGGTGAGGCCTGTCCCTTGTGCTCTGGACATGCTGAGCCCTGCAGGTTTCCCCAGTGCAGGACGCTAGAGTGCAATTTTGTGGCAATGGGGGGACTGCAGTTATGCTTTCCCCCCAGCTTCCTCCCCAGCCCTTGGGCTAGGAACAAACAAGACTAGGGAGCATCTGTCCCCCAGGGTCCCTGGGCCCTCGGCTTGCATGCAGGATACTCCTCAGATCTGTGGCAGGCATCTGAAGCCCCAGACTGACAGGTCTGGGAAAGAGGACACTGGCCCGGTAGTAGCGCCACAGACTCAAACGATTGAGCTCCATTGCCACTTGGGACTTGACTACTAGGCTTTGTCCAACGGAAATCAGATAGGACTGTGGTGGCCCTGGTCACACGTGGCTGGACTTGTGCCTCCCGCGGGTGGTGCAAGGGCAGGGCTGGGGTAGCTTGAAGTAGCCAGGTGTGGAGGACCACAGACCCAGCTTGGGTGGTGCCTGGGGTAGTCAGTTTGCTTCCCCCTGCCCAGCCTTGCAGCCTGCGCCCAGGAGAGGCTGTGCTGACTGACTGACGCCCAGAGCATGAGAAGCAGGAGGCAGACGGGCAACATGCTGGTCCCGGGACACCGGGGTTTATTAGGGTTCACTATGCCAGCGGCAGGGAGGTACAGGGCCAGGTGTGGCTGGTTCTGTGAGCACGCACGGACACCAGGTGGTCCCCACCCCCTTCGGCAGCTGTTTCCCATTCCTGGCTGCTGCGGTGCTCCCTCCTTGCCTAGTTGGTGGCGATGGTCTCCTGGATCCAGGGCAGCAGGGCGCAGACCTTGGTGTAGACGCCGGGGTAGCCTGCCAGGGCGCAGCCGACGCCCCAGGACACGATGCCCTGCAGCTCCCCGTGGCAGACCAGTGGGCCGCCAGAGTCTCCCTGCAGGGCACGGAGTGAGTGGTCAGTAACAAAACGCCATGCCCCCCCAGCCCCCAGTGCTGCATGCTGCCCTGCCTGCTCCGAGCCCTAGCACAGAGCCAGGGCTCCCCAGCAGACCCCAGGCTTCTGCCCTCACCTGGCAGGCATCCTTGCCACCCTCTGGGAACCCGGCGCACAGCATGGTGCTGGTGATCTGCCCGGGGTAGGCGTTCTCGCACTCCTGTGTGCTCAGAAGGGGCACGTCCGCACACTGCAGGTTGTAGGGGTTGAACACTGCAAGGCAGAGGGACAAACTGACCCAGGGGTCCTCTACCTCTGCAGGCTGCTGGGACCCCTGCCGGGGGCTGTGGGCAGGTACCAAGAGGCGTTGCTGCCCCTAGCATTGCCCGGAGCAGCTGGTGCTTGGAGCTTGAGGACTCCTGGCTCAGGGGCAGGGGGCTCCTGGTGGGCTAGAGCTGCAGGGCTGGGAGCCAGGGACCCGGGGTTGGGTGCTGGCCATGGCTGCGGCTGGGGGTTTGGGCTGGAGTGGGCCTTGCCCTCACTGGGACTGGGGAAACCCGGCAATTCCTCTGCTCGGGGTCAGCTCGTCACTGTGGCTGGGGCCAGGAAGGAAAGGTGCCCCGTGGGCCAACCCCACAGGCTGTGTGAGGGGGGAGTTGCCTTCCTCTGTAGCAGGGCCCTGGACCCCTTCCTTGACCTCTCGTGCCTTTGCGGTGGTAGGACAGAGGCAGGGAAAGTTCAAGGCTGTTACTAGTGACTCAGGTGCTGCACTGGGCAGTTGTGCATGATGGTTTGTCCCCAACATTTCTGAGAGCAGGCTGGACAGGCTTTCTGTCCCTGAGCAGGGGGCTGGACTGGCTGCGACCTCTGGGGTCCTCCGAGCATCTATCTCTGCTTGCCCAGGGGACTGCAGCCTGGCCGGCTTGAGCGGAGGGCACAGGCTGGAGGTCGGGACTCCTGGGTTTCATCTCCAGCTCCAGGGCAGTGTGTGGCCTGCAGGGCCTACACTGCTACTGCTTGTCCTCTCCTGGCACCAAGCCCCCAGGGACTCTGGGGGCAGGGAGGGGGCGACTCACCTCCGTCGCTGAGGATGTTGCCCCAGCCTGACACCATGCAAAAGGTACCACCCTCGGCACAGGCTGTGGGCAGGGCGACGGCCTGCACATTGGCATCAAACTGCACTGGGTGGGCCAGCTTGATGAGCATGATGTCGTGGTCCATGGTCTGGTAGTTGTAGTCAGGGTGCCACACGATGGTCTCGATGCGCATCATGTACTCGGTGTGCTCGAAGACTTGGATGTTGTGGTCACCCAGGATCACCTGCATGGCATTGGGGCTGGGGGGTTGGGGCACAGCTGCTCAGTGCTGTCCAGGGAAGCGCTTCCCCACCAGCCCCAGCTTGCACATGTGTGCACACACATGGATTCAGTGCCACACTTACTTGTACCAGCAGTGGGCGGCTGACACCACCCACTGGTCTGTGATCAGGGACCCGCCGCAGAAGTGGTACCCAGAGTTCAGGGAGACCTGCCAGGGCTGGGAGTGGGGGGCACACTCATGGCCTCCAACGATCCTGTCTGCGCCATGTGGGGCAGCGGCTGCAGGGACATGGCATGAGCAGGTTACAGGTGGTGACGTATAAGGCAGGAGGGTTGTGAGCCCCGTCCCTGCCCTCAGTCCCTCAGGTGCTGATTTAACTGAGAGGACTCAGCAGGTACCCCCAAATCAGGGCTGCTGCTTGTCTGGGAAGGCAGGTCCCAAGCTGTAGGCAGGTATCCCCCCAGGTGGGGAAGGGGCTCCCTGTGGACACAGCCTCCCCAAACCGACTGCAGCGTGGGCTCCGGGGCTCTCAGCATTTTGTGGCTTCTCCGAAGCTCCCTGTTGTGCGAGGAAACCCAAACCCTGGGGTGGAGCCCAGGGCCTAGGGGTGCCCGGAAATGCTACACCTGGTTTTGCTCCCTTGATATGAGAGATGCAGCCGGTGCCCGGAGCCATCAGCAGGGCCCAGGGCTTGTCAGCACATTGCAACTGCTCTGATCTTGGGTACAATCAGTCATGGGGGTAAATGAACAATGAACACGCTAGTGATGGACCCACACCCCGGCCTTCCCCAGCCCACGGGCTCCAGACAGCCGCCCCGTCTCTGGCAGGCAGGGCTGGGGGCTCTGGCAGTGCCCAGCCCTAGCCCTGGACCCTGGTACCTGCTACCCCCAGGACCAACAGCACGAGCCACATCGCCATCTCTGTGCAGGCAGCAGGGCAGGAATGAGCTGGGCCTGGTACTGGGAATTTATAGGGGAGCTGCTGCAGGGCAGGGGCGGGGATGGGGTGGCTCCCCTGGGGCAGCAGGTGCTGCATTCCCACGAATCCCGGCACTGCCATTAATCAGGTCTGAGGTGATGCCTGACCTGGCTGCCCCTGAGCCTGGCCCGCCTGCACTCTCCCTGCAGCTGGTGCCCATGGGCTCCCACGACTGCTGTCTTCCAGCCAGGCCCAGGTGCGGGGTCATTGAATGGATGTGCCCTCCAGACGCTTAGAGCTTCCTGGTCCTGGCATCGTGACAGCGCACAGGCCAGGCTGGGCTGGGTGCTTGCCCCCAGAAGTTGGCCTGGTCTGCCACGCCTGCCTGGGGGGGTGCTGGGGCAGGAAGTGACAAGGGCTGGGCCTGGGTGCTGTCCTTAGTTGTGGTGCTGGTGCTGTCCCCCATGGTGGTGCTGTCCCCAGTCATGGCGGCTGGGTCATGCTGGAGGTGGCTTCTCTGCGCTGGGACTTGCCCAGCAGGCTGCAGTCCATCTGCTCTGGTGTCTCCCAGCACAGACCAGGCCCTGGGCTTGGGTGGTGCCAGCTGCCCAGCTGTGTGCTCTTGGGGCCAGAGCCTGGCCCTGCGGTGCATGCGGCACAGACGTAACGGGACAGAGGCCTTTCTGTCTAGCCCTTAGCACCTGACCCCTGATTCCTGGGTCTGGCTTCTGTTCCTAGTGTCCTGGCTCCTGTTCATTTGCTCCTGTTTCCTGTTCCCAGGGTCCTGCTTGTTGGCCATGGCTCGATGTGTTCCCTGCTGCCCCCACATGGTTGGACTCGCTGGTCTGCTTGTGGTTCCCTGCAGCATGGAAGAGCAGGTGGGTGACGTGCATGCATAGATGCCTTGGCCAAAGGCAGCTCCTTGCTGGGCCCTGGCCTTGGCTGCTGGGTGCTGAATGGAGATGCCATGTCCTTGGCTATAAAAATAGCACCCAGGAGCTGGCATGGACAGGTCTGGCTCCCACCCTATTTCCGAAGGGCCCAGCTGTGCTGTTGCCACCTGGCTTCCTCTGCTCCCAGTCCTGGGGCAATGCTTCCCCAGCGCTGCAGCTGTTGCCACCACCCCAGTCCCCCTGGGTGGCTGAGCCCATCCTGGCTTGTGCCCAGCAGAGCTTGCTGCTGGCAGCTGGGGGTGCTGAGGGGAAGCTGTGCTACGTCCCCAGTGGCTAGCAGATGCCCTGGGAGAAGCTGAGGGGATCTGGGTCAGGATAGGGGTTGCCTGCATCCTGAATCCCCTCTGCTGCAAGCTTCCCTGCTAATTGGGGGGGGCACTGGGCTGGCCAGCGGGGCCTGTGCTGGCCGAGGTGATGTGGGGGTGGGCCTGGTGCAGCCAGAGCAGCTGCGATAGCTGGAGGCAGGGGTGGGGCTGTGCCCAGAAGGGCTGCAGCTGGTAGGGGCTGCTGGGGCTGAGGGGTGTGTGCTCTATGGTAGTGACTGCCAGGGGCTCTGACTCCCTCCCTGTCTGGCTCAGGCTCTCTGTGCAGCCCCATCAGCCTCAGCTGCAAATCTCTGCTGATGACCCCCAGCCATGGGTTTCTGCAATGGTCCCCAGTCCCTGGCTGCAGGCTCCTAGCTCTCTCTTGGGCCAGGCAAGCAGGATTGAGACCCGCCTGGGATCCTCCACCTGCTGTGACCCCGTCATGCCGGGTTTGGTCCTGGCTTCTCTGTGGGAGCACTGGCTGTGGCTGCAGGCTGTCCTGTTCCCAGGTGTGTGGCCCACAGCAGCTGGCTGGTGACTCAGGGTTAGCAGCAGGTGCGGGGACCTGTGTGCCACCTGCAGCAATAACCAGCTGTGGGGAGGTGCTGCATCCCAGGATCCCAGCTTGCCAGCCCCTGCAGTGCCTGCAATCTGCCTGACCCCAGCCTTGTGCTACCCTGGGACCCCTGCGCTCTGCGCATAGGCAGGGGTGCAGGGGAAATGGGTTGGGGTGCAGAGAGCCCTGGGGGTGGAGCCAGACAAGGGCTGCCTGGGGGAGGAGTCTCATCTGGGAGCGGGGTCCAAGGGCTGCTGCCACCTGCATTGCTCTCTTCCAGGTGTAGCTGGCCTGGCTCCCCACAGGCACCGGGGGCTGCAGATGGCCCGGTCCCAGCTGCAGGCATGGGGTGAGCATAGGCCACGAGGGCGCCCTGTTGTTTACACGAGCTGATGTGGCTGCAATGCATGCCCTGCATCTAACACCCAGGTCTCCCACATGCAGGGCGCAGCTACCCATGAGCTCTGCTGGGGCTTGGCACTGCTCCGGCCCCATCGCCCATGTTATCAGGGCTTGTGGAGGTCTGGCAGGGATGCACCGGCCCCCTGGCCTGGGACAGTCAGCGTGGAGGCCAGGACTCTACAGGGACCACCGCTGCCTGAGGTAGTCCTGCCCAGCCTTCTCCCCACACACTGCTGCCCCCCAATGTGCCTGCCCCTGCTTGCTGGGATTGCACCTTGTGCAGGGGGCTGAGACCTCGCACTTGTGCATGCATGTATGTGTGTGCACGCACATGCTTTTCCCCATTGTCCCTCACAGGATGAGCTGGGGCTGCTCCAGTGCCCGTGTGGCCATGGCTGTGCAGTCCTGATGCTCACATTGGACTGGAGCTAGGCAGTGCTGCCAGATGCCCTTGTCCCATGCCTGCTCTCTAGGTATGGCCCGGGGTGCGCGTACTTGCAGGGGCCAGTGCAGTCTGTGTGCAGGGAGACATGCGATGTGCTCTGCAACTCTGCCCCTGGTGACCATGTCAACGCCCCGCTGGCCGGACAGATGCAGGAGGGGGGCAGCGTAGCAAGGACAGGAAGCGCCAGATGTGGCTGTGAGAAATGGGTGTTGCCCACATGTAGTTCTGCAATCTGCGGCTGTTGCAGCGCTGGAATGAGCGCTGTCTGGTGTGTTGGTGTGCCAGTGCAGGGGAGGGGACACGAGTCCAGGCCTTGCTGCCAGGACCCCAATTTGCAGGCACTGGTGCAGCTACATAGCACGTGCCACAGCCAGGCAGCAGTCAGCGCTGATGCTGGTGAGCAGCTGGATGCTGCTGTAGCTGGAGAAAGGGGGGGCCCAGCTTCTGAGTGCTCTGAGCTGTGCCCGTGTCATTTGTGTTAGTGTGGGTCCAGCAGCCCCTTCAGAGTCACCCCGCCCTTGATAGGGAAGGAAACTCGGCCTGTTTTCAGTCCATGCCTCCCCTGTCCATGGAAAGTGTCCGTGGACCTCTGCAGTCCGTGGCTCTGCAGCCTGCATGGTAAGCGCCTTGCTGGGTTGCGATGGGTTGAAGCAGCCCTAGCACAGGGCTGTGTGTCCCAGACCCGGCTCTCCCAGGGAGGAGGGGGAGGAAGGGTCAGTCTCACTTTCTAGCCTTTGGGGAGGCCCCTTGCACCTGCACCAAAGTGACTGGGGCAGAGTGTGGCCTGGCCACCGCTCGGTCTGACACTCTGCTCTGCGCTTCCTCAGGATGTTGAATGCAAAACCCCCACCCCCAGCCCAGCTGCCCTGGCTTCCTGAGACAGGCCGGGGCGTTGCCTGCCACAGCCTCTCGCCACCCCCTGGGAAACCCTCTGGAGGGTCCAGCTTCCCCCACCATCCACAGCCCTGTGCTGTGTGTGGGCTCGCTGGCCGGCCAGCTCAGCACGTACCTCTGGGTAACACTCATCCCACCACCGGGCACAGTTCAGGTTCTCTGTGGGCTTTGTCCTCCTAAGACCAGAGCCTTGCCCCAACCAGTGAAACTGGAGGTGAAGAACAGCACTATCTGCTTGTGCTTTCGTGATTGCCCAACACATCCCCGGGGGAGAGAGAAGCAAGTGCATGTGTGCCAAGCTGTAGGGCTGGGGACCCCTCCAACACGCTCAATGCAGGGAACGGCACTGCCCTCCTCCCCCCGTGCCGACACCGGGGAAGTCTGATCTGCGGTGGGGCCCCTGCATTGGGCTGGGGAGGAGGAGGCAGCCTGCTGGTTTGTGCAGCCTGGGAGCTCTGCTGCTTTGGGGCTGTGGCCGTGGTGCCCACAGCTGTGGGACTTGGGGCCTGATCTCCCCACAGGGCCATGGAAGGGCAGGGGCCCTGCACACAAGGAAGGACTGGCCCTGACCGGCAGCCCTTTGCAAGCAAGGCAGCATGTCCTGGAGTCATCGGAGCAGTGTTGTGGCCTGGTCCACAGCTGGCTCTGAGACGTCTCCATGCCGGCACGTGTCAGTGATGGTGCTACAAGCCAACAGGCTGCTGCATGTGTGACCACCTGTGTGCATCCTGCCAGCAACTGGCCAGGTGGCAAAGCCCCCATGCACCCACCAGTCAAGGCAGGTCTCGGCATCCTTGCTAGGCACGGCGGCCCACAACTCCCCCAGGGGCAGGGTGGGTTGGGTGCTTAGTGGCTGACAGCTGCTCCGGGGCAGGGACTTTGGGTAGTTTACTGAGGCTCTTGGAATATTTGGTGGTAGGTTCGGGAACTCCCACGATTACAGGAAATCTCAGCAAGGCTGCAAGGAAATCTCAGACCTGCCTGCTGCTTTTTCCTGCGAGCTGCAGAGGTGCTGGTCATGGGTTAAAAGGCAAGGGTGAAGAGGGGCTTGGTGCCTCTTCCTGTTTAAACTCTCCCAGGGCTCTAAGTCGGGGCAGAGGATGTCTGCGTGCTTGGTGGTGCCCAGGTGGCAGGGCTGGGACATGGGTGAAATTCCCCATGCCTCGCCACACACATTAATTTTTGGCCTGGCCTTTGTGTTTCAGAGAAAGTTCAGCTCCCTGAGACCAGGAACAGCTGAAACTGTGGCCTTCAGGTGCTGCACAGCTGCAGAGAACAAGCCCCAGGCCACGCGCTCCCCAGCCAAGAGCCTCGTGCGGCAGGAAAGCCTTGGCCCGGGTGCCGCGCATGTGATGTGCGCACCAGGATGGCACTGGATCTGGCAGCAGGTGAAGAGATCTGATGCAGAGGGGGCTGCTCAGAAGCGGGGAGGGAGCAAGGTGCCACTCCCAAGCTCCAGCCAGTACCCGGTCACCCAGGGCCATCGCTGGCCCTGCAGTGGGTGGCGTTGGGTGGGACTTTGCCGCCTGGCCTAGCGCCCACTCTCTGTTTGGGCTGCCGGCAGCAGCAGCTGGTCTCTCTCTCTCTGCGGCTGTTTCCAGCTGCCTCCCCTCCCCTTGTTTGTTCCTGTGTCAGAGCTGCTCCCTGCTGCGAAGGTGATGGGGCAACAGCTCCCCCTCCCTTCTGCAGCAGACCGAGGCAGACAGGTGGAAACCTCAGGGATACATCCCTGGTGCAAAACAGTGGTGGCATGAGTGGGGCTAGCCCCGGGCCGAGCTGCTGGCTGCGCAGCCCAGAGACTGCGCTGGCTGGATCTCAGCCATGCACCCCACTGAGCGGGGGCAGGTGCTTTGAGAGGGAAGATGTGGGCCTCTCGGGGCCCCATGCTCCTGGGGCCTGGGGGAAGGTGGGAGGCCACGCTCCGGGGCTGAGCCACTTCCGGTGCAGCGGAGCTGGGGTAGTAGGGTGCTGTGCCGGGGCTCTGTGGTTGGAGCCGGCTGCCCAGAACCGCGCCCTGCCGCTTGGCAGTTCTCCTCCCAGGATGCGCTGAGCAAGCCTCATCCTCGGGCCCTCCCCTCACCCTCCTCAAGGATCCCATGCCCTGCACACCTGGCCCCTTGAGCCCCGAGGCCCCGCGCTGCCCAAGGGGCCCTGCAGCAGGTACTGGCACAGTGCCACTCAGCTTCTCATTAGGGTTTATTTTTGACAGGTTTTTTTTTTTTTAAATCAATGTGTTAAAACCACAATACGAAGCTGAAGAGAAACGAGTTGTGAAGCCGCTGCAGTTCCTTGCAGAGTGGTGGCACCAGTGCCCCAGTGCTGCCGGCAGTCTGTGCCCCCACATCACGTCTTGCAGCACCACACCGGGGCTGCTGGTGGGCTGCAGCCTCTCCGGAGCGAACACAGAAGATGGTGCAGAAAGCGGGCTGGATCGTGTTTTATGCACCGGGCTGGAGCAGGCACCCCCTGCTCCAAGGGAAGTGAGGGGTGTCTGGCCAGAGGGTAAGGGCCGGCGATGAGCTGGGGAGACTCAGGGTGACCACATACCCTGGCAGGCCCTGGCCTTTTTGACCCTCTCATTGCTATCTTAGCTTCTGCAGTGCCCAGAGCCTGAACATGGGAGTGCCCCAGAATGGGCAGAGGAGCAGGGGGCTTCCCTGCCTGCTGCCCAGAGCAGCTAATTTACAGCGTTGCACTAGGTCTGTGGGGGAAAGCATGTGAGGGTGTGGGTTGGGGGAGGTGGTTGCTAACATTTTCTCGGGAATGCCACTGTGTAGAGGGGTGCATCAGGGGCATGAGAGCCCAGCTAGGGTTGGAGCAGCGGGCCCTGAGCTGAGAGGCAGGGGCTCTGACCCCTGTGTTGTGCCCTGCTCCTTCTGGGTCCCACTTTGCCTAGCCCTGGCCCCACCAGGAAAAGGTACTGTGCAGGCAGCTGGCACATGAAGATTTCTAGGCAACACTGTCTTGGGATGCTCCTTCAAGGCCCTGGAGAGAGAGGCCAGGGTCACTGTCCTCCTCCTGACGCCTGGAGGGCCCCCTCAGAGCCCTGAGTTGGAGGCCTCAGTGGTCTCGGACCACATGGAGTCGCGGCGCAGGGCCGGCAGGCTGCCCTTCCGCCTCAGCAGGTCCCGGCTGATGCACCCGGTGCGAGCCAGCAGCTCCAGGAGCTTGCCACGGAACTTGACGCCGACGAAGGCGTAGAGCAGGGGGTTGAGGCAGCAGTGGAGATAGCCGAAAAAGGAGGTCACGGAGAGGGCTGTGTCCACCCCCTCCTCCCAGGCACAGTCGCGGGACAGCACCTCTTGGTCGATGAGAGTCTCCAGCAGCTGTACCAGGTGGTACGGCGTCCAGCACAGGAAGAAGATGCCCACCACACTCAGGATGAGCCGCATGGCCCGGTGCTTGTGGAAGCCCTGGGAGCGCCGCAGGGTGATGATGATGCTGGTGTAGCAGAACAGCATGGCGACCAGTGGCAGCAGGAAGCCCAGGACCTGGGAACAGCCATCCAGCCACCCACGCCATTTCCGGGCATGTTGAATGGAGAATTCTTTGGAGCACACGGTGCGATTGAGGCGGTCATCCTCCCAGGCACTCAGGTAGTAGAAGTCGGGCAGGGTGAGGAGGAAGCAGGCCACCCACACCACGGCGCAGGTGAGCAGCATCAGGTGGGCCCGGCTGTGCCGGTACACGTGCACCGCGTGGACGATGGAGAAGTACCGGTCACCGCCGATGCACACCAAGAAGAAGATGCTGGCATAGAAGTTGATGTTGAAGATGGAGCCCACCAGCTTGCAGGTGCCCTGGGAGAAAACCCAGCCGTGCACGGCCTGCACAGCCCAGAAGGGCAGCGTCAGCACCAGCAGCACATCAGCCACAGCCAGGTTCAGGAGGAAGATGTCGGTGCTGGTCAGGCTGCCCCGGCAGGGCAGCAGCACAGCCATCACCAGGCAGTTCCCCGGCAGCCCCAGCATGAACACCAGGCTGTGGAAGATGGGCATGAGGACCTGGTTGAAGGAATGGGTGTGACTGCAGGGTGGTGTGAAGCAACAGGTATTGCTCCCATTGTATTCCATGTAGTCGCTGTCGTTTATCAGCAGGTCCTGGAATTCACTTTCGACCAGAGTCAGCTTCTTGGTCAGGTCCTGGGTGCGAAGGGGGACATGTGGCAGGCAAGGGCAGTGTCTGCTCTGTGCTTGACATCACTCTGCTTTGCCATTGACTCCCTGGCCAGGGCCACCACCCCTTTGGGTCATGCCCCAGGGCCTTCATCTTTGTCCTCCGTAAAAGAGGAGCAGGCTGCCCGCACCCCACACCTGACAAGCAGGACTCGCGCGTTCTCTTCCCAGCCTGCCTCTGACTCCCCACTGCCTCTTGGTCACCCTCCCCCCAACCAACCAATCAACCAACCTTTTCCATTTTGCTGCCTCCTCTGGCTACCTTGAGCTGTGCTCAGCTTTGTCTACCGACAAATGCTCACTAGAGTTCATCTGAATTCACTTGGGTCCTGGCTGTCTGCAGCCACTGCGGTGTGCCCAGGGGCAGCCACCTCCTAGCAAGGGGGACCCAGGGAAGCTCCTAGGAGAGCTGTTTTCTGCTTAAAACAAAATTGGGTTCTTTGGGAATCTCACAGAAGTGAGAGCATGAGGCCATCAGTGACAGCTGGCAGCAGGGACAAGGGTTAACGTTTTGGTTTGATGTGTGCTAAATCATGAAATATGCACATTACCGTGTGTGCGCCCGCATGCAAATATGTATGTGCTGGCGTGTGCACACAGTATACCAAAATTAATCTTTTAACCCAGTGCAAGGGCCAGGGTGCTCCAGCGTCCCCAGTTTGGCTTTCACACCCAACAGTGACATCCTAAAACTTTCCTCCCTTGCATACCTAGTTGGAAAGAAGAAACTGCAGCATTTCGCACCGGAGGGGAGGCCTGCTGCCTCGCTGGCATTAGGAGGGACTGAGGAAGCCAGACAGCCAGTCCAGAGCAACCTGCATGGGTGGAAGATACCCCAGCACCTTGCCTCTGGGCAAGTGAAGTAGTGCTTTCTTTTCCATAGAAACAGAAAGAGTGCTGAGGCAGGGACAATTCCCCGCCCCCGTCTCACCCTGTTTGAGGTCTGCACCCAGCTGCTTCCCTTGAGAGCAGGGAAAATCCAGCCCCCCTCCCCCCATTTGGCAGCTGTGGGTTCCTAAGCGCGCTGGAAAACCTGGCCCCATCTCCGGCTTGCGGCGCTGGGCAGCTGCTGCTCCCGTGCCTGGTGTAACGTCCACCACCCCACGGCTTCCTCCAGCGCCAGCCAGTTTGGAGCTAGCTTGCATGGCCCCACAGCTGGGTGATTTTGAGCCACTTGGACTTGCACCCTGGGGCAGAGAGTGCCAGCAGCTAATCCCACCAGCAGTCCCCAGAGGCGGTGGCATGAGTGTGTGCAGCTCCTGTGCACGTCTCTCGTGAGCTGGTGCCCTGCGCAGCGATGCAGGTGTCTTACAAACAGCTTCCCTGGGAAGCTGCCAGTAAGTAATTTCCCCCAGGCCTGTGCTCCCACCCTGGTGTGTGCGAGGGGGGATAGTGACTTTAACCAGAGACCTCCCTGAGGGCTCCCTCCCCTCCAGTGTGTTCAGCTTCACTTCAGAAACCACGAGGGGCCCTGCCTCCCTGTGGTCTGAGTCCAGCCTGGCTGCCTGTGTCCCGGGACTTCCACCTTGGCCCCGGCAGGGACTTCTGCTCCTGAGTCACTGCCCAGGTGTGCTGTGGTGTTTGGACCCGCGGTCCAGCAGGGAGATGTCCGACAAGCTGCCAGGCACCCAGTGCCCTTCCTTTGGTGTGGGAAAGAAGCCAAGGGGCAGGCAAGATTTATTCATAGTATCATAGTACTTAGGGTCAGAAGGGACCTGAACAGATCATCAGGTCCGACCCCCTGCCTAGGCAGGAAAAGGCAATAGACTGAAGGAGAAGGGGGAGATGGCTTCCATGCAGCTGCTGGGAGCCCTTTGCTCTTCCCTGGTGCTCAGCCAGGTCCATGCAGCAACTGCAACTACATCAGTACAAGCCTCTTAAAGGATCCTTAAAGTATCCTTAGGCATCGTTCCAGGACCACAAGGGTGAGGAACCTTCCCTGGGAAAACAGCCTTAACTGGGAGACACAGAGTGATGGAGTGACCCCACATCCTCTCTCTGTAGCTGACATTTGGGAGCTGGGCAAGTTGCTCTATCGTGCGACAAGCAAGTCTCCTGTGCTGTGGTTGACTGGGGAAAGCAGCCCTCAGCGGTCGTTTGCTGCTGGCTGTGCAGCTCGCAGCAGCACCCTCCCTGTCCTCTCTACAGCCAGAGCCTGTGCAGGGGTCTCTGCTGACACCCAGACTGAAAACACCCCAAGGATAGCCCTTTTCGGGGCTAGCTCTGCGCACAGGGCTGCCTTGTGCAGATATGCAGTTAGCGCCTTTCAGATACTCCAAGCATCTACAACTTAATGAGCTGATGGGATTTTCTTTCTAGGTTAGGGTCATTTTCCCTGAAGTTCGTTAGTTTGGACAGACAGAGAACAGGCAAAGCTCGTTGCTCTGCTCTTTTTTCTTTCCTTTTCTTTTTCTGTTCTTTTTGAAAGTCATGAGACCTTTGATTTCTCATTTTCATAATTCATAAGTGGCTGGAGGGATTTTCCTCAAACTTAATTAAAAAACATTTAGAACAAAAAGTAAAAGGAAAGAAACATCTTTTTCCCCTTTCCCAGTTTGAACTAAGACCAAGAACAAAACATTTTAAATGTGAACACAACCTTTTAAGAGCGGTAAAGAACACGCTTGAAAACCCAGGGCTGGAATCTCTGAGTTTTGTGTTCTCCTACTCACGGTAAATGTTCCCCTCTCCCCCCCGACACTGAACCCTGTTCAGAGAAATCAGACTCTCAGATGGAGCATGCAAGAAATAATTGTTCTGCTTGTCTTAAATGTCCAGGCTCCCAAGTTTACTGGGCTGCATTGTGTAGAAGCATCTCCAAGTGGCAAACGGTGAGACATTAATTACAGACTTTTAGTCAATCTATCAGGTTAACCAAATCTACATAAATGAGATGAGCTGTTCTAGATGCACATATTTAATTTGTTGTTTCATCTGGCTGTAGCAAGTGTTTGCTTCTGAAATTAGTCTCTCTGGTCAGTTTGGCAAATGTTTTATGTATTGTCTCTTTCTGACACCTCTCTCTCCTCCTACTGATCCCCTCTCCAGATCTCTCGTGGACCTCAAAAGCCACCCCCCATCCCTCCAGCAGCTTTAAAATTCAGCAGTGGGCTCCATAAGGGACTTTCCCAGTGTGGTACTCACCCAGTTGTTGGTGGAGCCCATGACTGTGGCTAGGAATTCAGCACTTCCCATGCGTAGAGAGCTCACAATGCGACTGGATTGAGATGCTGGCGGTTGACTCTGCATATGCTTCAGGTAGCTGTGGTTTGCTGCGAGTGACAGCCTCTCCTCTTACGAGTAGCCACAAGTGAGCAGCCGTACTGCATGCTGTGCAGACATGGTTATTCCCAGCAATGGCCTTCCAGGTGCCTGGAGGTGTCTCCTCTGCTTCCAGGTATAGGTTGTTTGTGGGGTGGCTGTAATGACCAGGCACTGGATGAAGACTGTTCTGTGCCGCTGGTAGCTGAACCTGGGGCCTGCAGCTGGAGAGGCTGCAAAGCGTCTAAGCAAATTCCTTCGTCCATGTCCCTCCTACGCCAAGAAACCTCATTTCTCTCTCTCTGACGTTAGTGTTACCAGCTTTGCCCATCACTTTGGGTGTGCTCATTTATTAGGGGTACGCTTCTGGGGTCTCTGTAATTGTATCCATGTGCTGCTTGTGTCACTTGTGTTTCTATATGGAGCTGTATCTCTCCCTCCTGCCAGGCCTCACCCCCAATGGAGATATTTTGCAGAACTCAGGTTCAGTGAGGCTGGGTTGCTCCAACCACTGAATCAGTCAAACACACATACACACATACACACAGATTAACAGGGCATGCCTGAGCCAGGCTGGGTTATTTAGCATTGACAGGCTAACACCCTCATATACCTTGAACTCAGTTCATCAGGGCAACAGTAAAATGCAGCTAGATGCAAGCACACGGGTTAACAGAGCGCGTCTGAGTCAGGCCGCACTATTCAGCATTGACAGGTTGACACCCTCATGTGCCCTGAACTCAGCTGATCCCTTATTT